TTCGGGGCATATGGATGCCATCATCGGCCGTAGGCTACGCTAAAACCATAAAAACAATCCATGCACGTGTAAAGGGACCAACAACAGCTCCACACAAAACCTGCCTCACACATCACGGTGCGTCTTTTACCTAATTCAACTTTACGATTAGAAACAAAGTCCAAAGCCCTAAAAATGAACCACAATCCAAAAACTCAACAATCAGCAGTCGATATCTACACCCACGCACGAAAACCACAAAATAACAACACGACCAAGTCAAGATGCACATGCACGTACTCGATTAGAGGCATCTGGTGTCACTGGGATATTGATACACATGTCTGGGGTTTCGTACAACCCCGCAATACCCTTACTAGCCATATCACACACGCGCACATACATACATACATACGTACATACATACGCACATAGTTCTCCCTGCATCGTCATGGGCCCCAGTACTACTACCGCCCATGCCGCCCCGCTAGCCTCGCGGTCCAGCAGCTACCAGCAGGCCACCAGGATCGGTGCAGGCAACAGCATAATCAGCTACCGGAGTGCCGTACAAACGGTAAAACCCTTACAACCAACGGTACAACCCTTATTACCGTTCTGCTCACTTCTTGGGGGCCGGCGGCGGCGCCTTATTCGTTAATGGAGGTGATGGGGGAGATGGAAGCGGCTGCTTGCCCGCCGGTACCGGTGGCGGAGGACGCACTGGCGGCTGGTTGTTGGACGCCGGCGGGGCCGAAACCGGCTGCTTGCTTGACGGCTGGGTCGACGGCGGGGGCGAAAGCGGCTGCTTGTTTGACGGCTGGGTCGACGGCGGCGGCGAAACCGGCTGCTTGTTTGCCGGCTGCGTCGACGGCGGGGGCGAAACCGGCTGCTTGTTTGACGGCTGGGTCGACGGCGGGGGCGAAACCGGCTGCTTGTTTGACGGCTGCGTCGACGGCGGGGCCGAAACCGGCTGCTTGCTTGACGGCTGGGTCGACGGCGGGGGCGAAAGCGGCTGCTTGTTTGACGGCTGGGTCGACGGCGGCGGCGAAACCGGCTGCTTGTTTGCCGGCTGCGTCGACGGCGGGGGCGAAACCGGCTGCTTGTTTGACGGCAGCGTCGACGGCGGGGGCAAAACCGGCTGCTTGTTTGACGGCTGGGTCGACGGCGGGGGCGAAAGCGGCTGCTTGTTTGACGGCAGGTTTGACGGCGGGGGCGAAAGCGGCTGCTTGTTTGACGGCAGCGGCGGCTTGCTGCTTGTTACGTTTGCAGCCAGGGCACCTGTGCAGCGGAATGCGATCCCCAAAGACACGTTCAATGCCAGCACCCCTACTAGATGACCTGACGAAGCTGGAAGTCGATTTCCTAAGGCCGTCAGCATATCTACGTCGCCACACAAATATGCTGCTCCATAAAACATTGTTCCCCGGAGATGCACGCACCCATGATTATGCACCTGAGATTGCCTCACCTTCTTGGCACAGAAACGCGAGGACCAGCAATGAGAGGAGGCGTACGGTGGCCATTTTATCCGTGATATGTAACAAGGAAATGGTTGTAACGAAACAAACCACTTGGCTTCAAACCCAACGTTCCAAACGGAGGAGATGCTTCCACAACACTTCGGGAGCCAAAAGTTATACTAGTCAGTAGTGAAAACTTGTGTACGGAACTGCCCACTACAGGCATCGTACACAAATTGCGAACCAGGGTGGCTGGTTTAATGCTGCGCATATGGGGGTGCCGACTTGGTTTAGAAATGCCGTCTACGAATCGGCCAGCGGCGGTGTTTTTAAAGGAACAGCAGCAGCTTACTAAACTGGCCTTTGTCAGGTCGCCACCGTTTTCCGCTGGAAAACCTTCGTCTATGCGTTCAAAGTAAGGATGCAATATTGCATGTAGGTCTTATGTTTTAGTTCCGAGTGTAAATAATGAACAAGTCATGAGGGCGAGGGTGAGCCGCGGATTTGGAGTCATGCGTGCCAGTTCGGCAGAAGTTGAGAGAGTTTAGGGCTTATCCGAGCCGTTGTCCCTCTACTGCGGGTGAGACTATTGTAATTATATATGGCCACGTTACACGCCGAGCTTGCACGAAAGATCGCGCGCTTAACAAATCAGTGTTTGCGCCATCTGCTTGTTTGGCCGATATGAAGGATTGGTTGCTAGCTCTTACTTTCGCAAACAGCGAGCGCTTGCTGGAACGAAGGGCCTGAGCACGCGGCGAGACACGCAAATAGGCTGGTGCATATGATGTCAGCGCAATGCGGCTGTCTGTGTGCAATTTGATAGGCACAATAAAACTTTCAGAGAGGAGGCTACAATCCTTAGCCAGCCTCGTAGCACGAAGACCTTTGTGGCAAAGACCGAATGCAAAGATATGGTGCTCGGTCCATATCTGGACGTATACATGAAACATCACCCGAATGAAAGCCTGAGATCCATGGTGAATATCCTATAAGGCATCCACTTCACAGAACAGAATGACTCCTAGCTGTTTTCCTGCGATAATTGTCGTGGTGCCGACTGCAAGAATTTTGAAAAGTACAAACATGTTGAAAATCAGGGTCGATGTTACGTTCCGTGCTGCGGGTGCATTTGTCTTCTGCTGGGTTAGGTTTTTATGATGTGTCCAGCTGGCATATTTAGAACATAGAAAATTATCATGCATTGTAGCCATTGACCGATAGTGCGACAAGGGTTCAACTCGTAAAGTTTGTCTTTGTCGGCTTTTGTAAGGTGCAAAAACAGTCCGCCGGCTCCGGAGCACGGAACGGCGCCACACAAAAACTTGCCTTACTGCAAATACATGGCTTTAGCAAATTACAATTTCTTTGCTCATTAACTTTGTATCTTTTATGAAGAACAAATTGTAAAAGAAGGTGTCGCTTTGGTAAAGCTTCGTTGCTTCGTGGCTAGGGCTCCTGCTTTCCTTCTCCAACTTCTGTCCGGCACGTCCCTTCCTCCTATATAATCCTCCTATATATTTACAAATTGACGTAGCAGGCGATGGCTCACAGGGCTCTGGGACGCAGCGTCATGCGTGGTGCACAGCAGGCGCTCCGCTGCACACGGCGTATACGCTGCTGCCCAGCACCACCACCTATCGACAGCTGTGAGCCCAGCACCAGCTCCAGGACCTTACCGTGGCTGCAATGTTCGGCGGTTGGAAAGTCGTCGCATGCTTGGCGGCTAATGCCCGGCACTTCATCCTCCCCCAAGGGTTACTCAAGCCTCACCGGCCCAGACATTAAACCCCCAACGCAGCCCCTGCCCGACCCTGATATCATGAAACACGTGGAGGCGGCCCTGGGCTCTCTGGACACAAAGGCACTGGTAGGCAGCCTGGAACTCTCTAGCCCTCGCAACCCTCTCTCTCAAGATGCTTTCCATGCCTTCAGGCTGGCTTCGGTTGCGTTGTTATCCCCAACCTTACATCACCCAACCCATGGTTAAGGGGCTACAGCGACCACCGTGTCTTGTAGTAGAGCTGACGCCAGGTGTTGGGGGTTTATTCTAGGTGCTGAGAAAGGACGAAGAGAGTAGTACGGGAAACATCGGGATTGGTCGCCGCTGGGGAGTGAACCGGATGGGAAGGTAGTTGGGTGCATTTCTATACGGCGGTTATGTGTAATGTGGTTTCGGAGGAACGTCCACGTGGGAGCTGAGTTCCCCTGAGGCCTCTTTCGTATCCCACAAGCAACCTGGTTCGTTTGTCCGTCTGTCTGTTTACCTGTCTGGATGCCTCCCTCCCTCCCTCTCCGGGCCTTGATGTATTTGGGTTTACTACTTGTACCCCCCCAACACCGCTCCCTTTCCTTCTCCACCGCCACCGCCACCCCTCGCCCACCACCACCGCCACCTCCCGCCTACCCCCTGCAGGCCCCTCCTGCTCGCCCCGTGGTTATCGTGATCAGCGGGCCCAGCGGAGTGGGGAAGGATGCCGTGCTGTCCCAACTCA